CACTTTGTTTAAACTATCAATTTTTCTTGCTTCCTCAGGTCACTTCCTTCAGTGGAACCCCAAAATTCTGCTCTCTCTCAGGGCAGAATTCAACGCACTTCAAGCAATGATTCGCTCTCCGAAACTAATTACATGATTTGTGCAAAATCTCATCTTATTACCTCCCGTAACATGGAATGCAGATGACAATTTAAATGTGAATTCGAAGACGTTTCTTGAATGCGATGTTCAAAGTGCTGGAGGCAACTGTAAACCACACGGGTAATTCAAAGTAAAAGTGAAGAAATGTATTGAGCGGAAACTACAGCAGTTTCAAAATTCTTTTACATGGGTAACTTGTATTTGTTGCACTATGTGACTACGTACAGATATCCCAAACCAGACGGGGGAAAAAATTGAAATATTTTGGTAATATGAAGCGAATGTTAACGTTTTTGGACAGTCGATAATATTTGCAATTTTTAAAACTCACGTAAAGAAATGTTTGCTTGGATGGAACATCCACAAAAATGTCTCATCTAGTTTCTTCTCCAAATCATAAAACTGTGTGTATGTGTACTTTGGAGCTAAACTGATTTAGGCTTCACCCGTTTGGGGTAGTTTAAAAATACTCACGGAAGTTTGTTGTCTTACCAGTAGAGATACACACTAACTTGTAGTTCATGAGATTGCAGTTTTCGTGGAGCAAAATAAAACTATCGAAAGTATTTTGTTTTCATTTATTTTTCTTCCCTAACCAACTCATTTAAACAAAATTTAAGTAACTAATTTTCCGCAGAGGACAATCGCAACAGGTTCACTTCCCGTTATGATTCAGTGGTTCTACATTGTGACGTTTGACACTATTCAAGTGGCCAAACGCCCACCAAGTACGGCAGACGCCAGAAAAATGTGCAGAGACGTCAAAGCACGCGGAAAGAAACGGTCAGTAGAAGAACGGCCTATGAACTGGTGGCCGAAAAGCTTGCGCCGAACTTGCGGTGTAAGAAGAGGTCGTCGTTTGCATCCCCTAAGTCGGAAACGACTCGTTCTCAACCTCAAGAAATGCGACGCCGTCAACTTCACTCGTACGAGGGCAGACCCCGATGAAACAGTGACCTTGGCTGGCGCGCGTCTACCTTGGCGGAGCGAAGCGAGATATTTAGGCGGCTGCTTCACGGCAGTGTCTGCTGGCATGCGCACGCTTGGTATCTCGCTACCAAAATCAAAACTCGAACCCTTTTTTGAAACCTCTTCTCCGTTCCCCTGACATATACATTTCCTTCAAGCACCGCTTATTCACCGCGTGCGTGCGTCTCTTGTGGGCGTACCCACGCGAGGTACTCGTGGCCACTCCTACTCTGCGTCCTATGCAGGTTCTCGCGGCACACCCACATCTTTCCAACACCCAACCAGTCGTACTCTCCGAAACGTTGATGTGTTCTGCTGCAGAAGCGGGCGGAGACACCGACATGAACAGTCATTAGATCACGTGTTCTATGCGATTGCATCATACGCAACAACACTCACCTGTGCAACAACGTCCGCTTCCTAGTTCCTAGACGTCTAGTTGCCACCAGTGCTTGCCAACCGACGCCCTCATCCCCTCTCCAGGTGGATGAGAACATGAGCCCTGTACACGTGGTCAGTCTTCAAATCTACACTGCATCATCATGATACTATTTGTATTCAATGTACCATATTTTTCGTTTCAACACTAGTGAATTGTTAACTGCAACCAGTTTTCAACTGTACATTCCTACGGATATTGCAATCATTCAAATACTTTCAACATAGGTGTGATAACAATTGTAATCAAGTGTATAATTTAATTATTTTTCATTACAAGTTTTCCTCTTCAATTAGTACATGCCTACTGAATTCACCCAAATTCAAAGTGACATCCTCTGAAGATACTAACATTTACAGAGAATGCGTGGGCGCCGCATAATACGCGGTGGTCCTGTGAGTTGTTAATAACAAAGTTGCCTAGGTAGAGTACTATAAAAATTCCCATTACATTTCTTACAGTTATAATCTGCAATATACTTTGAAAATACACCACTTGACTTGCGAAAATCGAGCGAGTTATGAAGGTAATAGAATAAGAAACATCATATAATCCACATAGAATATTTGATTACCAATTTCTGCTAAAATTTGTTTAAGATTTTTGAGAGTAGATTGGAAAAGGAAAATACAAAATGTCCATTTTCTTTAGGTGTTGCTGTTTTTTGAGCGCTACTGTATGTGAAAGGGCTCACTGCCAGCTCTTTCGAGCCATCTCATCAGTCAGCCCCCAACACTAGGATTACAATTTTCAATACTAAAATGAGAATTTAAATTCAAAAAGGAATTTGAAGATGTTATATTATTCGTTGAAGAGATAATTATTGTTGAAACCGTTCTTGAGATTATGTTTGATAATTCTCCACAATGTATTTATTTCATCACATTAGTTTTGGCACGGTGTAATGTTACACCGTGGTTTGGGTCATACTTTTTTTCAATTAGGACATATTTTGTTAATTTCTGAAAAACGTATGTTGAACAATTCTTTAAGACAAAAACGCTTCCAATTTGAATAAACGAATTGTTTTGAAAAACTATAATGTTTTCTTTCTTTTAGATTCAACTTCAGAAGAACCTCAAACTTATTCACTCCCCTGGAATGGCATTCATTTCACGCATTAATTCGCTATTTGAATGTGACTTATGCGGATTATTATTACCTCTCGTAACAAGAAATGTAGATGAATATCCGAACACAAATTCGAAGACGTTTTGGCGAAGTCTTTGGAGGTAGCAGTAAAACACAGGTATAGTTTATCGTAAAAAAGGCGTAAAGAGTGGGAAAGTACGGGCTGTCTTAGCGCTACTAAATAACATGCGCTTTCCGGTAGGTGTATATTTCTCCGTGGTTGCGTCAGGCCAAGAAACATCCCTTCGACCACGTGCTGTGTGCAGGATGCGAGGTTTCGGCCGACGATGGTGATTCGACGCTGACTGTTACACCTCATTGGCGCTTCTATATCCCGTCCCCCACCCGATATCTTCGCCATTGCCTTCTTTGCGCATCTATCTTCCAGTAGAAGCACTGGAAATCCCAGTGGCCACGTGCTAACGACAGTGGACTCTACTTCGGATTTGGTGATGTGTGCGAGACGTCTTGTCCACACTACACACGCATGCGCAGGCCCGGCGGATGATGTCGGTATACTGGGTAGCTAAACCCACACGAAAAATTCTGAGCGGGTAAAATACCCATGCCCATTGATGTCTGAGACGTTGGTGTCTTCTGACCAACCAGTGCCACCAGTCGAGCCCCCAGCACATGACGTCGAACCGTCGACGCAGATATCACCACACCCGTTGCAGTGCTTCAATGTCGAGCCAACACTGTGGATGACGCCGGTCTTTCGGTTACGGCCATGTGGAGATGAGGGACATCCCGTTATTTGGTCACATTGTGCATTCCAGTACCCGCCCATCACTGTGTATGACTTCCCTTATCCACCAGTTCCACTCATGCATCACTGTCGAAGCAGCGCGCCCCCTCAAGCCGTAATGTCACGGTAGGACAAACCCGCTTCCTAGAGACCGATAATTCTGCCCCGTTCGAACTCACTCAGATGCTATTATTACGCCCTTAGGCGTCAGCGAAGCATATCGTCACTTGCTTGTACTTTTCCACGTCGTTTGACTGCTCTACACTGAGTGTGGCGTAACACTGACCTGACCTGTCACACAGAGGAGGAAGCTTCTAGGGCAACGTGCACGTCATCTCTATACAAATTTAATCACTTATTACCCCACTGTTCTACACATCTGTCGATTTTTAACTGATTCCGACCATTCCTTCTGGGTGTTGCAAATTTCACAAACAGCCGTGAATATCATTCGAAGCGTGCAATTCATTTGTTCTATAATTTGATGTGACAATTTGCAAGTGCCGAAGATTCTGATTCACTGTTATTCAGGATACACCTCTAGCGTCACCACGTGACTACGAACTGTCAGCCATCTACTTTAGGTCGTGGTATAATCAACAAGTTATTTCGTTACAGGTTATTTTGTTACAGGTAAGGAAATAGTAGATGGCGTATGCATGAATTTTGCAAATAAGGAAATGTTGGAGCACCGAGTAATCTTTATTTTTAATAATAAATCAGGAATCTCAAGAGTGTAAAAGAGGCAGTTTTTGTGAAATAAGGCAAGAATTTATGTACTAAAAATACATTTTTTTGTTCATTAAATTGTAATTTTTGTTACCAAATCAGATGTTAAGCATTAATACCAGTTTTCGGGAATACGTGTCTTGCTTACAGTCAATGGCGCATACAGGTGGTACGAGGAGCAATACCCCAACCAACAGTTTTTTTTGTATTTTTATTCAGTTTATTCAAATATAAATACCATATATAAATACCATCCCAAAACAATATTCCTGTTATGAATATAACCATATATTTTTTATTTCAAGTGAACAATGCAAAATTGAAAATATTTAGGGGATTCCTAACTGAAATTGCCTATTCCCGAAGATATTCATTGTGGATTCATCCCTCTTTATCGTATTGTGCAAGGTTTAATGAGCCCACAAAATACATTATTAAACTCATACGTAAACTATTTTATTTTTGAATTGCGCAGCGTATCTCTTCTACTTGTTGTGATAAAAGTACCCGTACCAATACTCGTTAACTTTATTGCCGTAGTACAATTTAGAGAAAGGTTTACCTCTATAAACCAACATTTTCAATTTAATATTAACATATAAACTTACAATGTGCTCTACTTTTAACCCTTTAATGTAAAAGGCAATACAGTTATAAACTAAGATTGAAGTAATAACCTATTAACTAAATATATATATTCAGTTAAGAAATAAGAGTGGTATCACGAATTGGGTTTAGACAGTAGGTGAATTCAGAGCATGTCTTTAAGAAAATTATATTAATTTCAGTAACTAATAAAGTATTGTTGCAGATAATTCAGCCAATTATTCAATCAGATTGCACCTGACATGCATACGCGTGGCCGGCTTCACATGATTCGGCTTCAATTCGCCCTTCTTGGTTGAGTGAAAGACAATGATTCTCCTTGGGTACATCACGTTTATCCCACAAATTCATGATGACCTCGGGCATTGGCTTACCTACGGCAAAATATAAAGGTACAAGAAGTACATAGCAAATAGCAAAAGAATAATCTTGAAAAAATTCGAATCAGTAGAATAATAATACATTGTATTCTAGTGGTATCTATATAACTAATTTTGAATATCCGCAGAAAGTGATTGAAACTATGTATCTTCAGTGGTTTTGTTATGTACCCGGAAACTCTGGGAAAATCAAAAATCAGTTATACACTTTCGGTTTTGAACGAAAAAAGCAAATATTTGATTGTGGTGTCCTGTTCTACAATGTCGTGAAGTCATATTTCAGTATTCTACTATCAGTAAACAGACAAATTGAGAAACTGTCGAAAAGTGTTCTTTAGGCGCCGATAGGTAGCAACCAGGAAGAGGGGACAATACTGAAAAGCTAGCCGACACCAAAGAGATTAGAAAACCAACTACTGCTAGAAAGTTCAACCAATATGCAACTCCATTATTTAACTAAAACATACCGTGATATACACTAGCTGATTTCCCGAATTTTCAGATTGATTTATTGATTAGTGGTTCCAGGCTCGTCAACTACTAACGTCATATGTACCGTAAGTGCAGTGCATGTTTCTTTGCCCGAGAGGTGGCGGTGATTAATCCCCAATGGATGGCGAGATCCGGCGCCGACCTACCTTTAGCTAGCGGGATTTTCCTTAACCAGGTATCTCCCACCAGTGGACACCGCCCCAGTAGGGTCATGATCTAAACTCCCGATCAGTCTCCAGTGATGTGTGGTAGTGTAGTGCAAGTCAGTGTGTGTGCAAGTGAGGCATAGGATAGGACGAGGAGTGGAAAGGAAATATCGCACCCGGTCTGTGGACAGTTTGTTAGGATATTGTTCCGACTTTCGCCTGGGTGATGATCGGAGGAACCACGGAAAGCTACCGATCAGAGCAGCCAACCGCTAGAATTTTCAGGGCCACGACAGAACTCGAACTAGCTTTGTCGCTAGTGTCGAAAATACTACAACCGTCGATACTCGAACTTAGGACCTCCCGGACAGAGGCATTGCAGTGACATCAGTTGACGCCCTGACCAACCTCTCCCGGTCTAAATTTTCAAAATGAATGGCCCAAAATACACATTACATATTACTACATAAAACCATTTGAAATCATGTACTTATATTTCGCCGGGTCTTTTTCCCATACCTAATGTACAGACTGTATATGTCAAAATTGCGTACTCTTCCTCGTTCAGTTTTATAAATAATTAATGCTAAACTTTGGACTACGCGCTTGTGCTCTTGCAACAGGTGCTACGGCAAGTGAGCAAGCGGCTTCACCACGCGTTAAGGCTCGCCTCTTCTCCAGAAAACTCAATTGCTAATACGGCAGCGGCTTCACTTCGGGCGGCGCCGATCAGCACCGAGTGCCGCTGGGCGAAGCCGAGGTTCCGGGGGGATGGCGGTTGGAGAGGGGCAGTCTTGGAGGCCGCTGCTCAACAAGTATTTGTGTAACACTCCAATGGAATGAAGTACAGTAATAACTAATCTGATATATATTTGTAAATGATGGGGCCAATTGTTTAGTAACTGCATAATGAGTAATAGGCGATCGCAATGTTAGGGAAGCCCTAGAAAACCAAAAGGTACTCATAATGATTAATGTGATCACCATACGGTACTTCATTGTAATTTCATTAATAAATGTTTTCTTTTTATTGTTTTTATTCTTTAAAGACGTGTTTTTTTTGTTTTTTTGTTTAATGCATGGTAAGTTGCTTGCAACCAACAAGATCCCTCCCCCTGAAACGGATTCCTTGTCTCATATTAATAAATTTCATCCAATCGATGAAATACTATGTTATCATTGATGCACTTAAGCTGATATACGTGATGACAGACCGCATTGAAAGAAGGTCAAGGGTGAGTACGGTCACTATATATATATATATAGTGACCGTATATATATATATATAATGCAGCTTAAGTGCAGAGTTGGCAGATGTTTTGTACAAACATCCACACTTATCTGGATGTAAATCCTCCGCTTAAAACGATTACCACAGAAATGCTTACATATGCATGCTTATTCCTTATGGCTTATCGGGAAATGCTGGCAGTGAAACCGTACTTCCAAAAGATGACTAATTTTCAATGACATGTTCTAAAATTAACTCCAAGAACTTTCAATGTGATATTATCTTATGGAAACAGATCGCAGCACTCCGTCTGCAAATGTACAGTGAACTCGTAATATCTGCCAATAAAATGTGGCTAATACTAAACAAATATAGTTACAGAAATTGCACAAACGGTTAGTGTGCTTCAGCAATTTGAACTCCCTTCCTGTGAATATTTTAAATAATAATTTAGAATGAAATTCATGGAAATGCATTGTGAGTAATAAATAGTGCGAATTATATCGATAATATAACGAACACAACGTTCTGTAGATAATAGTACTTAGCATTTCTGTAACCTTAGCCAACATGTCCACTGATAAATCTTACTTGTCAATCGTATGCGACTTATACTAAACAAAACTCAAAAATGTCTTCAACATTTTTATGACATGTATTGAAATTTAGGAATGGCTTCAAGTGATGAAGTACGACAGAAGTCTGACACCCCCAGGAAAAAATCCAGAATTTCGAAAGCAAAGGGCAAAGATACACACACAGATATCAAATTCAACGAAAATTCAATTTATAAGTGGATAGAAAGAGGTCCAAAAAAAAGAATTTATTGTGAGATGCAAATTATGTAGAGGAAAATGTCGGTGTGAAAGCTTTGTGGTAAAGTTTTAAATTTGTATTTGTTAGTTGAAATTTGGATATACCTGTTTTACTTATTACGTGGAGAAAATTAGAAACAACTAATGTTTTCTCGAATGATATTTTTATTTAGGCGACGTTCTCGACTGTACGCAAGTGTAAGACCCGCTAAAATGTCAACTAAAAAAAGAAAAGGAAATAATTTTCATAAATTGTAAAAATGCGGATTTTTTAGTCATTGGCAGGGCTCGATGCGAATTGCGTCGAACGTCGAAAATGCAGTACCTCTGGCGACACAGTTCCGGTGTCACTCGGAAACAAAATGGAAAAAATGCATGAATTGCGAATATCATTTGAATTATGAGGAGTAGAAGATGTCGCCATCATAATCGGAGGCTGTGATGCCGAGGTCAGAGACTGGAGAGCGCATAAGAAAAAGTGTGAAAGAGGTACAAAAATTGCTCTCCCATCCACACCGCGGGAAATGATGCCGGCCCACTGCGCGCACCACGACTGTGAGCTCCTCTTTGCAACAGCCAAACAAGCTGCCCTCCATTTTGGAGAACACGCCACGGAGCAGAGACGGCAAAGGGTGGATGCTAATGAGTTCATACCGAACACAGCCAGGGCAAGAAGTGGGAGGATATACAAAGCTATAATCGGGCCCAAAAGTATGCGCCCGACAAATAGTGAGGAGAGAACTCGGGGCGACGAGGGAACGACTGTAGTAGAACATCTGGAGAGGAACCCCCTTCCCCTCCACCGGCTGACACGCTGAAGGCCGATCAAGAGAGCACCTTGCGGTCACAACAGAATGCCCAGCAGCAACAAGATATGGATCCAATTCAAGGCACCAGCAGACGGGCAAGGCCACACACTACATCCGAGCCTCGCAAATACCAAAAACCAAAGAGGAAGGCGACCGGAAACAGTCGTACGCCCGCCGACGAGTAAAACCACCAGAACCTTTTTAACTCGGCACTTTTCCCAGAAGAACTGGAGACGAGACCAACTGACCACCAAGGCCCCCCAACGTAGTAATGACAGACAAAGCTACTGGGCAGCAAGGAGGATAGAAGAGCCCAAAGGGCCTCGCCCCCACTGAGCAGCAGAAGAGTGGAACGAATCACCACAGAGGCAAGGACGCCCCGATACGTATAAAAAAAGGCGGGATGGAAGTAATAACTAGGAAAGAAGAGACACGAGAGAGGTGAACACAAGGAGCCTTGAGCATCCAAACACGAGCCCCCACAGTCCACTCCGACACCCCTGCTGGCCCAGCAGCAATGCCGGAGCCGACCTGAATAGATGCGCATAACAAACTCCCCGGCTGTCACACACAGTGACTTCCACAACACAGGACTCCACTGACAGTTGACCCCACCTCATTTTCCATTAGTGTACTGAGAGACTGCACAGCGCCTGCGAGGAGACCGCAGACGCAAACTCAAATGGCATAACAGAAGATAGACTGGAAGATCTATATAACCGCCTGATAGCCGACCTGCAAGAAACCGCTGATATAAAAATAATCCTGGGCAAAGCCAGCTCCGGCAAGCACCCGCCAACCACCGATCGCCGACAAACTCAGAATTAGAGAAACGTATGCAGCCCCAAGACGTAAGGCGATGCGATGGATTGCTGGGAGTGACGGAGAGCAATGCATGCCATCGTTACTGATATCGAAAAGCACTTCAAGGACAACGACGCAGACAAACTACCGTCCAGCTATGACAGAAACATTTGTGAGGAACTCGCCGGTAGGGAGCCTGTCGACTGCAGCAACTTTTAATAAATTATTTAAACATCCCGTTTAATTAAAACATCCCGTTTCAACAGATTGTATAATTTTGAAGCATTTAGAATCAATTTAAGCTAATGTTATTTCGCATATATCACCATAATTGCATATGATTGCATATTTGTTCCATATCTGCATATTTTTGTTGCATATTCACTCCTCAACCGCGAAAAGAAGCCCAACAGTTCCGTCAGCATGTAAGTGGCTCTGATTGTTCTCTCGTCACGAGGTGAACAATTAGGTGAATTGGTCACGTTTTAATGTAATTTTGTGTTGCTTTTTGTTTATTATTGCCAGTGTAAGCAATTAAAAATTGGCAATTCTCAAAGTCTGTACAGTAGGTTTGTACATCGTCATATGGAATAAATACATAGTACGATGTACATTGTATGTTTGAAGTATTATACACCTTAATTGGTCTACGTGTTTAATCTGTAAAACTGAGATCGCATCATCTTACTCACTGAGCAGGATACGCCTCTGATAATTAATCATTCAATGATTGATGTAAGTACAGCAAAATTACGTTTGCCTGACGAAAAATAATATTTTTTTCGTCTGAATATGTGCCGGAATCTGAGGTAGTTTTTGATGTTGAATAACTACAGTTTCGGAATATTTTTGACACATTTAGTTTTCCAAAGATATAATATGTTTTTGTGACTGAAGACATTCAATCTGAAGATTATAGGTCGGTGGGAGTTCACTATAATAATGAGAATGAAATAAGTTTTTGAAGAAGTATGAGTATTTTTTCTGGAAAAATTACTTTCTGGAAGGTACTATGTATTGAATAAAAATGTTTTCTTCAGCCAGTCATTTTAGAAAACATTGTTTGGGGTATCAGGATATTTGAGAGAACACTTTTTGGCGGCGACGGAATTTTATATACCTACGGGGGATGAATACATTATTTGGGAAGGGGTGGCAACTGAGATAGCTGGAGAAATAGAAATAATAGTGAGAGATAAAGTTTTTTGGAAATTCAAATGTGTATGTTTTTCCCTATCCAAACAGAGATGAATTTTTTATTTGCATAATGACATTACGTTACAGTTACCGAGTGTGCTATTACAGAACGCGAAATGCTGTGTCTGTTACAGCATAACTAGTCTAACTTCAGTTATAATGTATTTCTATTCAGAATATTTATTCAGACTAACCAAGAACTGTCCGGAATTCTCCACCATTTTCGTGAAGTCCGATGAAAACTGAACAGTTACTTCCTGGGTGTGGATGAAATATCAGCATTCCCAAAAGCATGTATACCTCCGACTACAAAAAGAAAACTGATGGCAAATTCTTCTGAAAAATAGGCACAAAATAGGCAATTTTATGCAAATTAGGTCTACTGTAGAAGATCTTACTTTGGGACAGACAATCTGGCAAATTTGTCATGGCGGTAGCAATGACAGTTGTGCTGAGCCAATCGAGTGTGAGTTATTACATTCCCCCATTAATCTGCACGGTCAATAAAATGTACAAATAAAGGTCCTGGACGGGCGTGGGCAAGAACGTATCTGCCCTTCGTCTTGAACACAAAGGTAACATAATAGCCCAGTCAAATTCGACCAAAAAATGGCGATCGAAGGGGAAAAAACGTAGTTTTGAAACCTGGCGTGATTGCTCGATGGCACCGACTTCATAACATACTAAAAATCTTGAGCCGGGGCGGGGCGGATTTTGAAAGTGCTTTTTCGACTTTTTTTTTTTTTTTTTTTTTTTTTTTTTTTTTTTTTTTTTTTTTTTTTTTTTTTTGCATAGATCTTCGCAACTATACGCATTCCACAGACAATTAGGTTCTATACAAAATTAAAGTAGATACAATTTCCTACAAATAAGTTCCTATACGATTTTTTTTGTAAAATTGACCATTTTAGTGGCTTCAAAAGTTCTTGTTCAAAAGGCCCTAGCTATCTCTTACAAAAATTATGTTATGATAAGTTCCATTGAAGTAAGTAATTCTATTTGTGTTCAACATTTATCAACGTGTATTGCATATTTTACTCAAAGAAAACAGAAACATTTTTCGAAATGTCTCGATTAACCATTTTTACAAATCTTAATTAATACGAAAACTGTTTATTTCATATAGTTCATAGTTTATTTGATAAGGGTCGGGTTCAATATTTGGAAAAGAATTGTGCACGCTGTCAACATATAAATTACATAAATTAATATAAATGGAATAATCACCTATACAATGAACATTGAAGGACAACTAAAACATAGTGTCAATGACGGGCGACACACAACGACCGACATGAACGTCACTGTTTGGCGAGGGGCTCCAATGATTAGTGAATTAGGGAAGTCCCAACATTCCTGTCACAAGTCAACAGTTTTGTTTTCCTAATAACTGCCTCGGTTAATCGAGACATTTCTGTTGTTTTATGTAATTTGTATGTTGATAATGTACACAACTCTTTTAGTGCAATCGATAAGACATATTGCCTTGCAAAAGGTGAGGTACAAGATTTTATTTTTTTATTTTGTTACTAGTTGTTAACTAGTTACGTTCAATTTCAAATGTCACAAAAATTCTCTACAAATTTCCTTCACAAATTATTTATGTCAAGAAAATGGTAACAGTGTTATGAAATTTTAAAATTTAGGCAAATTTTTCGTTTTATTCTTAAGAATAAAATTCCCGAAATTACTAGTGGTCTCTCTAATGCTAAATTTTTGAATTCTTAAAGTTAGTTTAAATAAAAAGCGATTAAATACCAATGTTTTTAATATTTACTGGGATTAAATTTCCATCTGAATGTTCTGATAGAATGAATACGTACTGGCAACAAACACGATTTATTTACATAAAAAACATTCCAATAGCATATAATAATGTTCGTTTCTAATTCATTTTACAATAATAATTGTTATTAATTCTAATTAATTTATATATTAATAAATATTATTATTAATTATTAAATAATAATCTTAATTAATTATACTATAATAATACTAATTAATTATTATGTTATACATTACATTACAATAATAATTATGAATTATTTTATAATAATTGTTATTCATAATCACAAAAAATATCCACATAGAAATCTGGTGGATTAGGTTAGGAAGTTTTCTTTGAATTTCTTATAAGAAGAGAGCAAGACACACATAAAGGTAGCATAGGTTCGATTATCACGGTTAATTCTGAATTTTCGAAAATTGCAAAAGTTTGAATTTTTACCGTGTCTTACCACAACTCATAATGAGATATTTTATTAAGATTATGTACATTTTTGGAACATTTTAGTAGTTTTCAAACAATATTGCGTGCAAAACGTGCAATTAAAAAAAATCAAAACAAATTTTCTTGAAAACTCCTCCAACTTTTTTTCTTCAACTTTGAGTAGGGATAGTGTTAAGTGTTCTCTATAAGATACAGTAAACACCAAAGTGCTCTATTCTTTTGTTGTTGTTTTTAAATTACAAAAATGAAATTTATTTGTCTTGTCTCCCGCGTTGTCAATATGTACATTAGCTGTAATTTGATCACATTATTATATTTACGAGTACATGTGCTTTAAATAATGTCTGAAAATGTTTCTCGAAAACTCAACCTTTTTCTGTGAAAACTAGCTCAAAGTTCCAATTTTTTAAAAACCCTCAAACTCCAGTTTTTTAAAAACTACTCCAATTTTTTCATCAAACTTTTCGAATGGATAATGATAATTGCACGGTCAATATGACGTAATGTTCATTTTGAGTTTGTTTTGTTTCTTCAAAAATTACAAAAATGAAGTTTTTGTAAAGACTCCACACGCCGTTTATATGCATATTTTCGGCAATTTGTAAACACACATGTATTTATCAATTAAAGTGCTTTAATATGACTTTTAATTAAGTTTTTGGAAAAACTAAAATTTTCTGTGAAAAGGAACTTCAAATTTTGAATGAGCAATAGCGCTTAAACGTCATTTTTGTAGAAACGACTTCAACTTTTTCAAAGAAAATAGCTATTTAGAACAAGGTTTTACTGCTCTTGAATATTCCTAAAATAATATTTGCCGTCTACTTTTAAAAAACCTAAAAAATAAGAAAATTTCAAAAAAAATGTTGTGGCGTAGGGATGTAGCGAACCCATTGCCCTGCACGCCCTTACCGGTGGGTGGGGAATGCAGCAATTAGCCTGGTTTCTCCAACCTACAAAGGAGTGGCTGACCGCTGTTACTGTAAGATATCCTTTCCCGAACCCCGGGAGCCAATGGGTGGATTGAGTAGCTCGGAGGTTTCCATTTTCTAACCTTAGGAGTATCCTTACCATTCCCTTTTTCCTGTTCAGAAGCAGAAGTGCTTCAAATAGGGGTAGATTGAGCACCGGAGTCTTGGAAGACACTCAATCTAAGGGAAGAAAACCCTAAAAGAAAATTACCCGGTAAAAAGAGAGGAGATATATTGTTGTTTACCTTTATAATTCCTATACTAGTCTCTAAATAAATGGGGCATACCTCTACCACCATAATATCAGTTTGTCGTAAATTTATGTGCATACCCATTTTTTCATACTCTTCTACAATTTCTGAACATAATAAGTTACATGTCTTCACTTCACCTTAATCACTTGGTCATCTGCAAATAGATTCACAATGTTTCATTCAACTATTTTCACAAAGAAAAGCCCATGCTTCTGCACTTCTTTTCCATCTTTAGGGCTTTATCAAATGTGTATCTAAAACAGGGATGGAGATATACAGCAGCTTGCGTAATCCTTTATATTATGGGAAGTTGTACATTTTCCTAATTTTACTTGATTTTGTTATCTTTATAAAGTTGTTTGACTGCATTTATGTATGTTGTTAATATTCCTTTTCTCCTCAATTGCCCCCATTACTTCTTTTACGGTACATTATCATTAAGCCTTTTTAGGTCAATGAAAATTATGTGAATCTCTTCCTCGCTCAATTGTTTTTTCCATCAGTATGTTTGAGACAGAAAAATATTGTCAATACACGATCTTCCTTGTCTAAAATCACTTTGCTCTTCTGAGTCTGATGTTGCATTCAATACTATTCTTTAGCACTCGTCCATACAGTCGCTAACCAAAATGAAGTCACACTTATCTCTGCCTCATAATTATTACAATCTTTTTTACAACCTTTTTTTGTAAATTGAAATTTATGTAGGCTAATTTCATTATTTCAGGTACTTTTTACCTCCTTTTAAAATGCCCTGAATATTTTCAGTAATTAATTCCAACCTACGATAGGATAATGTTTAATAACCAGACTTCTATGGATATACTCCAGGCCAGGTGCTTTATTATTTTTCAATGTTTCTCTAACGATCTTTTTAAACTCTTCCAACAGTCACATCTGGTGTGATCTTGAATTACACGTGCAGTAGGCTTTCATTAATTATTCCCTGCAATCTAGCTCTATTTTCTGACCAAACGATTTCATCAGTATTCTTTGCAATTTTTCACATACCAATTGGGTCTACTAAATGCCATACTTGGTTGTATTCAATTTCATGCAATGTAACACTTTTCCATGCCTCTTCTGGATTGGTGTTACCAATTGCACTTGTTATCAATGTCACATTTTTGTATCGCAGCAATACACTTTTCTTTCTCTCACTTCTTTCTTGACCAAATCTTTCCATTCTGTGTATTCACTTACTGTCTTCTAAATCCTCTGGAAAAGCCATTCTCAACATCATAACTTTTTCTTCTTCTTCGACCAGCTTCTTCTTATAATGCTTCTGTCCACCACAAGCTCTTTTTGTTTAATTCCACATTTTCACCTTCTCTCCCAAAGCTTCTTAGTTCTTCATGCGAGCATTTTTCCTAAAAATTGGTAATCTTTCTTCAGCTTACTCCTATTGGATGTACCTTTAATTTTTCTGCATGCCCCATTTCGTGCAAAAATGCAATAGAATAATCCTCGAAGGCTCTCAATATTGGTATTTCGCGCCACCATCTGACTCTCTATCTTCCATCTTTTGTACTTGGTTTTGTCGTCTTCCGTAACTTTTGGAAGTAATGGTTTATACCAATAAGGTAAAGGCTTTTCCTTTTAGTAGGTAGTGATCTGATCCACAGGAAACACCTCTTGAACCCGAACATCGGCTCAAACTTTATTGATGACTGTTGCTTTTATAATTATATATCAATTATTGATTGCAATTTCTAGTGGGGGGCGCGTTGGGTCCACGTGACATTTATGTATACTTCTTAATGTGAGAACATAGCATTCGTCAGTTTGCTCATCGTTACATCACATTGTTTCTATAAGTCTTTCTCCCGTCTGTCATTTAAACATTTTCACCATATCCCCCACCAACATTATTGCCGGGCCATTCGTTCTCTCCAAACTGCTCCATAACAATCCAACCTACGAAGGCACCAGTCTTTCGCGATAATCTCAATAGAATCCCAGCCAGGCAATAGT